TTTACATATCGTAAATAATCAAAAAACCTTTCCCGCCGAAAATGTTGTGCAAAACCTCGTCGTTGTCAATGGGTTAAAGAACAAAGGCAAGTCATCGGACCACATGATAAGTGAAAAGTTATATTGTATTTCTCTTCGATTGGAAAATTGCTTTCGAGACCTGCACCAGAAACTCGTTAAACTTGATAATAAACTCTTCCGCCAAATCAGGATTTCGCGAGTTGAGCTCTCGAAGGTTTGAGGACAACAAATGTCCTAAATTTACAAATCAGTCTCTAGAGCAGCAGTTTGATAGCTCACCCATTGACTCGAATGTATCCGGATTTTCGAAGTTATCCTTCATGACCGATGCGAACTGTTCGATAGCTGGAATACAATGATAATCAGACTTCGTGGGTTCTACTTCGAAGTCATGGGTAGCCCTCACCACTGATCTTCTGCTGCCTTTTAGATTTTTTCGTTATTGGCGGTGGTGCTGTTCGCACAGATAGCACTTGCGACGTTTGTGCAGAGCTAGACTCACTTTCCTGAAACTATTAGATCTGAATTAAAGGCATCGTCCAGGCAGATCTAGGTCTATGGCAAACTCAGTTGGAATGGTTTACGGGCCCTAACTAAGGCACTCCCCAAGCGACATATTGAATGATTCACTCATAGCCAAAAAATTTGTCTTTAAAATGTTCCTAGCGATCATATCAATGGACGACTTGCATGATGCTGGCACTTCCTTACATACCAGGAAGCATCAGTTTCGCCTGGGTCTGCACGCAAAAGCATATAAACGCGACAAAAATCGTCTGCAGGGTCCACTTTAGAGGTAAATATCTCAGTTATGAGTAAATCACTCGAGATGTTGCCTTAGCAATATCTCAGTTCCCAAATTGGAATCGAAATTGCCATGAACAAGCAAAGACAAATTCACCATCTCGACTGCCTCCGCCGCGGTTAGATCGCTTATGTTTTCTACATCTAACATAGGGTCATTGTCATTGTGGTTTACGTCAACGTTGCAGTAACGTTCACTTAAATTGAAGTATAGTAAACAAAAAAAACATTTTGAGAAGACTCATATACTACCCATGATCATTAACAGGGTCCAAGAAAACCAAACTATTGTAGAATGGCCATGCTCGAATGCGCTCCAAAACACCAGCCTCCGCTCCACTATTTCGTTTCACCGCATCCTGATACTCTCGCCTCTTGCGTACGTAAACATCACGCAAATTCTTAAACGATTTTTGGAGTACGTCGGCTGCAAAAAAATTATTCTTAGAGAAAAAATGTCTATCAAAACCTTTTGACAGATTCATATCGTTTACCATCAAAGCCCTTGTGGAATTTTATTTCCAATTCTTTAGCGACCTCTCTCCAAGCTCGTGCTCTCGCATGAAAGCTCTTGTAAAGGACATCTTCCTCATTCCAAAGGCAGCTATGCTCCTCGACTAGTTCAATCAGAATTTGCTTCTCAGCATCGCTCAGCCGAGATGCAGTGTTTTCATGACATCTCTTCATCTGTAAAAAAATAAAACTATAACATTATTAGGAGAACAAAAGAAGTACCACAATCGACAAGACGGCAAAACAGATGTGAGAACAGCCCAACCATGCTCAGTTTTATTCGTTTTGCATAGAAATTAGATCATCATCAAAAAACAAAATCAAAACCACATCAGAAGCCTAAATCACACCAAAATCGAAAACAGAAACCTTTCAATCAGCACATCTACAAATAAACTTTTTACAACAGTATCAGCAAAAAATACAAATATGGTACGACACGATATCAAATTTTGGCAACATAGACATATAGAGATATACCTAAGGTTTAGGTATACCTATAGCCTATACCTACCTAATTATTCGTTTAGAATGAATTGG